CTGGAACAGAAAGTCAGCTAATACAACTAAAATGTTATAAATTAAGCTATTCACTTTCGATAAATTCTATTTCAAGTCAATCAATTTCCATTTGAGTGTTTTAACTGTGGTTTGTTTTCAATACTAATTACCCAACATTTGAAAATCGAAAGTGCTTTTATTCTACATCAACTTGCATAGAAATCTAACACAAAATATGTATTTCTATAGAATTCATAGCTGTGTATCATACAACCCTCTTTAAAACCTTTAACGATATTTTATTTTATTAAACATTACAGAAATTTTTCGACTAAACCTTCTTAAAATCGATAGATAGACCATGATATTAGTTCTTGAAGTATTCCAACGTTTTTATACAGTATCGTGAATGCAATAGAAATAAAACTATTCCTCTAAGACAATTTCTAATCATAATTGTCATTAGATATTTTCGAAATCAATATTTTAATTCTCGTAGATCACAAAGTTTTAGTACAATGAAAAACCATATATTCCCACTTCCCCGGTAACTGTTTCAAACAAGCAGGTAGTAACACGGACCGTAGATAGTAGCCATCTCCACACGGCACTTTTAAAGCGGTACTGAATCGATGAATTCGAGCTAAAGAATATACCGAACGCCAACGATTAAAAAAAATAATAATGCGCATAGGAAAACGAGTACTATTAAACAGCACAATTAAATCTGTTCAAGTAACCGAACAACTTTCATCGATAGAATCATTTTTTTAATATATAATTTCGCGGTTGTCTAATTACTTGTTGCAAGCCGAACCATATAAACTTGACGATCAAAACAACAAGGTTTCTTGGAAGTGAAATAATCATGTGATCGACTAAAGCTACGTGATTAAATAAGTCCAGTAGGAAACTCTTACAAATCTAGAAATATTGAGGAATCTTGTAGTGTGTTTGAAAGCGATTATCAAATTATGAGTTCACGCGTTTAGGTATGCTATCACCCTTGTTAGATACCTAAATAAAAGTTTACACAAAAAAAAAGTTGAACAAATCGCTTGATAAATAAAACTACATTATATTCGATTATTTTATAACAGTGCTGATGAAAATGAGACTAACTCATCAATATATATATATATATATATATATATATATATATATATATATATATATATATATATATATATATATAATCATTGAGATGTTCACTTAAGAAATTCAACAGACACATACATACTAATACACTTGCGCACATGCAGAAATACAGACTAATAAGTGGAACATAAACACAAAGAATGGAACAAAGAAGAGTTGCATGAAAGACATTGCAGCAGAATTAATATGATTGACAACCATCATTCTGAGAAATTGTCGTTTATTGATGTTTGAGAATGATTGTATAAACAGTTCAAATTCACACACACACACACACACACACACACACACACACACAAATATCGTGAGTTAGCTGCAAAGAAACAGAAGACCTAACATCAAAGGCAGTATACTCGATATATATATATATATATATATATATATATATATTCATGTTGTAGAACTAAATGAAAACAATAACACATTAGGTGCATTTTCATGAGATGAACAATTTTTTTGTTTTTGTTTATACATTACTAAACATAGAAATAATAGTATGCAACAGAGAAAGGAAAACAAATTCGTAGAAAAGGAGACAATTTCTGTGGAAAAAAACGGAAGTAGTTATAACAGCTTCCGGCTATTACTAAAATTAATCTTTACAACAATCTGTGCTTTGCAACCTACATTCTACTTAGTTTCACTTGCAGTCTATGTACTATGTAAAAATAAATCAGTAGAAAACGAGATATTCTCAGTCCAGAGACGTAATCGACTAACGATGAAAAAGAAGAGAAAATTAAGTTGGAAAATCATGGAGTTTGAACAAGATACACATCATATGATGCATCCAAAAATAGGTCAGCTTAGAAGAAGAATATGACGTTTTTTCTCCACAAATTTTCATTCATCAAATCGAAACCAATAGTCATTATAGAAATCTAACAAAGGAATAGTAAGAAAGAGAAATTAAAAGGCTTTAAGGAATGTGAGGAAACTGTGTTAGCTCTTCTTTCAACGACAATGATAACAAAACTTAGAATGCTGAAATACATGTTCAATCCGTAAGTTTTGCAATAAAGTATAACGAGAATAAGAATCGTTAGTTAGACAAAGTTAAAGAGAAAAAAATACACTAAGTTGATTGCAGTCGTACATCATTTTAGACTAAAGATAATTTTTTGGTTAACATATTATTTCAACTAATATAGTGATGCATGTAGAAAACTATCCTTCAGAGAGAATTGCTGGGGAAAAAAAACAATAAGTGGGTTATCAAAATAGATTATCAAATGTAAGTTTTTCATCATATAATAATTAGTTAGCTGCACAAATCACTTGTTAAGTTATCTAGTGACAAAATATCTAGATCAAAATAATAAAAGGTAAGTTTCCATGGTGAATTTTACATACGATGTCATCAGCAAACTATTTTTGGGGAGTGTCAGACATCTGTACATATACGGTTAACTAATACCTACGTTTAACCATGAAGAGCTGAACAATTAGTACGTAACCTAGCTAGCATGTAGACTGGTTTTTAGACCACACTCACACCTCAGGACTAAAGATATGATATATATGTAGGCGTGATATCCAGTCACCAAATGCAAATCCAAGAAATAGATATTGTGCCACACCAACTGTGCGAGAGATATGACAATATTTGAATGCTAAAACCTGCATAACTGGAGAGGGGTTCGACCCAGTGACATGTAAAACATACCAGCTGGTGGAAATCAGGGAAGGCAACAAAAACAAAACCGAGAGTAGAGGAATATAATAAGTTAATAACCATCATTATGGTTGTTCTCTTAACGAATGTAACGCATAGAAGCACAAGATCACCGTTTCAAATCTAAGACTGCAATCTATGGAAGAGCTACTAGTTTATGCTTTTCGTTAAAAAAGGGTAACCAGTAAATAAATATCATGGTCCCTAAATAATTTTTAAAGGACAACGGAAACATCTTCAACCTATTACTTCTAAATTCGAGTGAGAGCATCTCGACTGAGGAACCTGATAACGTCATGCATATGTTGTCAGTTGATCGACAAAGAAACAAACATCAATCCGGAACCTTGTACAAAAGTGTTTTAGTTCAAGCGGTTACTCATCATAACAGTATAGGAAGAGAAGGTTATTGAAGTAGATAAAGTTTAAGAAAGGAGAAAAAATAAATAAAGGTTAGTAAAACGTTCGACATTTGACTGATGAAGGATGAATACACGAGCAGTAAGCCAATATGTGTAAGGTAGTATCCGAGTATGAAGTTGCACAGCAGAAGGTATAACACAGATGACACAAAAGGAATTCATTAACAACCACAGATGATTTGCAAGTTACAAATTATTTTAACACGACGATGTTAAACAACCACATAAGAAAATTTCTACAACAATACTTAGTAAAGTATAGATAACTCAATACTAAACAAAATGTGCTTACCACTGTAAACATAAAATAATTTACATTATGAGTCAGATGAATTCATGCGCAAACGATCCAGTACACGACGTCTAACATTGGCAGATAAACGCGGATTGCTATCTAATACACGGGTTAACAACTCCGATAAAAAATCGGTCGTATACTGAGGTGAAGAAGCATCAACTGCCTGAAATGTAGCTGCTAAATTTGCGATAGAATCTGAAGCACCACTGGTGACTTGACTGTAAACATCTTGAAGCTAAAAAATTAATCATATATTTAGAAACAATAAGTAAACAGATATTAGTGAAAGTACTGACGTCATTTTCAAAGCAAAACCATCGCAGTCTCAACTGATATAGAATAACGAATAACTGAATTTTCACCTCATACAATGATAATGATAAACGAAAGGAGAAACATTAGTATATTGTATTCGATAATATATCCATCAACACAGTACATTCCATTCTGCGAAAATTAGCTTAATTAAATTGGAATTAGACGGAGACACGTTTATGAGAGGCCACTCCATGAAAATTCCATACACCTAGATCAGTCACACTTGTAAAGCACAACGAATAGATGAAGGTATCATGTTATAAAAATTCAGACTTGAGTGGAATGTTATTCGTAATCATAGATAAAACGTTTCAAAATCATATATGACGCCTAAAAGAAGTTCTTGAACAGTAAAGACGAGAAAACCAAGGAGATGTCCAAGACAGTAGAGAGTTTACCGACCGGAAATTCACCTTTACAATTTCTGATAGATAAACCCGTTCACAGGTACCCGACACCATCTGTACGACTTGACATGAAAGAACTATTCGACTTTTTCGAATAAGAAGTTAAATGGCAGTTTCTATCTCACACTGTAGAGTGGTAAAAAATAACGTCACTCTAGTCACGCCCTTGCATTCAAATATCTATGGGTATGATATAGGAACGTATGGTGAGGTATCAGGTAAGTCGTGTATGTCGAGTGGCTTCCGTCAATGATGTCGACTGTCTCCACTATTACTTAATTTTGTCTTAGGCGTGTTCATGGAGATCTCCCTCTAAATTTACATGAATTGGCCTATTTACATGAGAATTTTCAGTTGCCTTAAAGTACACATGTATTAGTCAGTTAACGTGAAGATGCTGATAATCAATATGAATAACCTACTGTACACAATGAATGGTAATTTCAGAATTTTTAGGATAGGCTTCCCGCCACCCAAATGCAAAGAGCCGCTTCATGGCTGGTCGGCGCTGATACCGTGTCTGACAATAAGGAGTGAACTGGTTGGTTGATTGATCACTTCACTGATTCGTAAAGTTGAACCACTCCTAGTACGCCAGTGACCAGCGAAAAATATGCATCGATACAAAAGGCTCAGTCAAGTTTTGCCAACTCATGCCAGCTGTCGCACCAGAGAGATATCTTATTGTCTGTTAGGAGTCACGTGTACTGCACAGCTGTTCGCTCTGTCCATTCATATGACTACTAAAGGGCCAAGACTTGGGAAGGCTCCAGATATTTGAACAACGTTACCTTCGTAGAGCAGGTCGTGTGTCGTAGAACTACTAGGCTACCAACGTGAATGTTAGGTGTAGGGTTTCAGGTAGAAGAGAAACACCAGGTAATGAGGTTGTAAGCCTTCATCGACTCAGATGGGTAGGACATATGTTCTGGTTACCTGGTCACCAACCACCCTATCGTGCAATGTTGGCTGAAATAGGTTTAGTTTGAAAAACGGTTAAGGGTGGTAAAGCTAAAACACAGTATCAGTCTCTGCAGTTCTTAACTGTAGGAAAATGTAAGCTTCCTGGTTAGGGTTCGCGTGACACCCAAATTCGATGGTTAGAGATTCCAGGTGATATGGCTAAGAATCGATGTCAATGGCACAGATGCATCCACACATTGTCACCTTGAATATCTTATTACGTAATAGTTTTATCAACCTCTTCTTCTCACCGTATGATTGTTTGCGACTTTCGATTGCATTTTCCTTTTCTTAAAAGCTTCCACCAATGGGCCTTCTATTTTGATACATTGATAGGAAGTGTGGCAACTTGAGTCGTTGCGCAAAATTTTGAAAGGCCGTAGTATCACTTTGTTAGAGCTGGTCTAAAGAAACACCCATAGCCAAAAGTAATAACAGTAGTTAACAATGATTGTATTAATGTGTTCATTAACTAGGGAACTCATTAAATAAATTTTAAAATAATGAATAAAACAGGTAACAGATACCTCATGACCTTAGGTAACTCTTGTGATAGGGAAAACCTTGCAAACCGGTTGGAATGTCTAAAAACAGAAATCTTTTTCAAGTTGTTATTCATCGTAGATTGACATCAGTTGGAGGGACAGAAGAAACCTAGGAGCACTGGACAGCTGTTTCGTCCTGGTATGGGACTCCCCAGCGATACGCACCCGCGACCCTGCGCGACCTTCAGGTCCCGTGGCCAGCATGTTACTATTGAGACACTGGGTCAGATCCCCGGCGGGGTCGTGGATGCGCACTGCTGAGGAGTCCCATGCTAGAACGAAACAGCTGCCTAGCGCTCCCATGTTTCCTTTGTTCCTCCAACTGACGTCAGTCTACGATGAATGACAACTTGAAATATTTCCAAATCCTCACAACTCCCTCGGAAATCTTTTCCCAAATTGATAATAAAACCTAAGGTAGTCACTTTAATTTTATACGCAAATCAATAAAAAAGCACATAATAACAAGTAATGGTGATGTGAATAGGCATTACTCAACATAATAAATCAGTTTTTGCTGATTTTAATTTACTGATAAAAACAATGAACATTTTGTACTAAGTTGATTAGTAGCCACCTTAGCTGTTGCTGAAGACCAGAGATTAGTCTGACTATATGACAATTATTCAATCCAAAACAATGAACTGTAAGTAGCAGTTGCAAGTGAAGTTAATACACATAGTTATGCTTTTCGCATGCAAGACTTTCCGTGAACTGTCATTCTCTCTTCTCACACCGTAGCTTATAAGACTATTCGTGTCCATTAAATGTTTTAAAATTATTTAGGAGTAATCTACAAATTTAGTAAGTAAATTATACAGAAAAAGAAAATACCGAAGTATTTGTTTGTAAAAAATTAACTCATTGATTATATTGATTTTGTTCAAGTACTCTTATTTTATTAAGTGTCTGCTAGATAACATCGCATAAATTTGGTAGCATATATATATATATATATATATATATATATATATATATATATATATATATATATATATATATATATACGTTTTCTCTCACTCAAGTAGAAGAAATTTCAGTTGACTATCAAATTAATGCGATATTATCTAGCAGACACTCAATAAAATATATAAAATAAATATATATAAAAATATATATTGGTAAACAAATGGAAAAAGTGAAGTATCTTACATCTTGCAGCAATGGTAAAACGTGTTGATGAAAGCAAGACGAAGGTTTATTTAAGGTCACAACCGATGAGGGTGACTGACCCTGAGGAGGTCTGTTATTAGCTGGTGTTGAAGCATTTTTCGAATTCGATAATTTTGTATGATTAGGATCTCCAACTATAAAAAGGACAAAGTGAAAAAGGGAAAGAAATCAATGTTAGCACAGAAATGAAAGCGAGTTAATTTTTTCAAAGTTCTTTTTTTCTCTTCAGAAAAAGATTTCATGTACCAAATGATAAGTGCCAAATCAAAACTTGTGACGCCATTGGTTCATTTCATTTAGATGGTATTGAACGTAATTCGTTTGAACTTGATTCGATAAACAGAGATTCCAGGTAATATGGTTCACAATCAATTGCAGTGGTCCAGGTAAATGCACAAATTATTTGGTTTTAACCGTTATCGCATAGTTGCTATTCAGACAGATACATCTTTTCCTTGTTTTACGAATTGCTAAATATTTGACTATATTATTTTTAATCGTCTATCTTTTATCTAGTTTTTTTTTGTATTTTAAAGTATCGGTGTGAGCTGCTGTAACTTGGAACGTTACACAGTAAAGTCAGCTCATGAGTGGATATTATTCACTGACTAGTTTTTCCTAGAATCGAAAAGTTTATCAAGTATCAAGACAAATAGTCATTGGACAATATAGTAATTCTTGGAAGCAGAATGGTACATTAGTTAATGGCGTGGAATTAGATCCCATGAGTTGACAAATCATGGCCAAGACATAAGAAATAAACAAATATTTTATTCTCGTATTGTGAATTCAGCATGAGAAGAAGCGGTTAATATGTCACCAACCCTTTTCTATTCTTGCCTCTAAATGCCCTAGTGTGGTTCACAGCCTGTCTGGGAAGTCTTATTCACTATCTTCACATAACAGGAGTATTTCCACAAAAGTGAATGTCCGGCACTTATCATCGGGTTGGTGGATACTAAAAGTTCATCTAAGGGAGTTGGAAAACCCTAATTCACAACCAACAGTGCACATGGGATCCAGGTTCCGGATGAAACGAACAGCATACAAACCTATTTCGGTCACCGATAGCCATGGAAATGCAGCTCCTGATGTCCCTCCACTGCCATGTGGATTAGGCGTTAGGTCAAAGGCTCGGGAGTGATCCCCTAACACAATCATCTGTTTCGGTCTAGGCGCCCAAGCAGTATCCCGGCCCTCACACAAAATATAAATTTGCAGAATAAACTGAAGATTTCGAAGCAACAAACTAACTTTCCTGCAAATACTCAAGGCCCCCACACAAGGCACTCTATGATTGGTTGTTCGATATATTGGTAATATATTGTGATTGTTGTTTTTACATATGAACTGTATTTATTTATCATTACCATTTTCTTTTTAGTCTTTATCTTCACTTCACTCGGTTACTTCGGATCTGTTAGTACCGTTTTGAGTCGCTAAACAGCTGTCCCCATAAAGCTGTCTTTCAGTGTGACATCTGACTTAGCTACCCTGAAATCGTTTAGGTTCGCCACCTTCAACATTCACATCTTGTTTCAGAATGGACAACAGGGAGGTTTGGCCAGGACTCTAGAAAGTCTCACTATTGATGTACGCTGTATCTCAGGAACCCACATACAAAATCCCGCTGAGGTGCTTTGAATTATTTCCCCAGCTCTCAGTTTGAGAATTATGTTTCATGTGCGCTTATTCGGGGACCCTGTGGCATCGACAACAGGCCTCAATGGTGTCGGTGTCGCGCTAGAGCAGAAGCTGCACTACAGTCATCTATGTGTTGTTAGGCTAGAAAGTTCATCTCAAGTAAGAAGTAACCGGTAAGAAAACGATGTCTATCATCTATGTATGTGCCCCAGCGCATTGCAGCCTGAATACAACCAAGGATGAATTTTATCATAAACTAAGTGACCTTCTCAATAAAGTAAAATCGATAGATATCGTAGTGATAGCTGGGTACTTGAATCAGTAGGCCGGAAGTCTAAGTTCACAGAAGAGTCGGTGAAGTGGTCAATGGGGATTTGTTGGCCAAAGGCAGGATAATGGAGATTATCTTCTGCAGGTTAGTGCAAATTACAACCGATTTCTAGCCAGCACCAACTGCCGTCACAGCCATCGTCATTGTGCTACATGGCTTCCTCCTTCTGCCACTCAAACGTGGACTGAAACATATCGTATTACAATCGGCTACAAATGGCGTGGGTACATACAAGACTGCAATTGCAAGACCCCATGAAAATGGCGAGGAAAGCCGCTTGCCTCTTGGAAGAACGTACCGCTAATAGACACTAGGTCTCCATGAGTTCCCTGGAAATTCTTGACGCCTGTCGGAACATTTTGGAGGATAGCAAGTACAATGGCTAGCGAAAAAGTACACAACGCTTATGCAAGGACCGTGAAACTTGGTGGTCGGAAAGTACGAGTGAGATGGAAGCATCAGCTGCATCTGGCAATAGCCGAAAGCTGTCCCACCTCATTCGAGCCACTGGCATCAAGAAACTTGGCGCCAGACGGTCAGTGAGGTGGATGGTACGCCGACAAACAGTCTTCAAAGACACCTGGAACACTCGATGGAGCACTTCAAAGCGCAGTTCAGCTGACCCACTGCTCAGACATCCTTAATTTCAGTGTATCGTGCTCCATGATCATTTAACACTGATCCATAAAATCAACGTAGAATCTCACACATGTATCGGCTCAAGTTGCCACATTTCACAATAGTATATAAAGAACAGGTGTACAGAAAAAGTGACATCAAAGAAGATAAAGTAGTGTGACAATAAATAAGATTAGTGTGAATAACAAAGCTCTAGAAGATGTCAAGGAGTGAATATATCTGCATCATTGTGACCGATTTTCAGTTACGTCACCAAGCGGAGGTACTCCAGGAACTCCTGAGACGCCACAAGACACGCAGCCCAGTCAACTAACCCCTGGTTCATCTTAAGGGTGGAGGAAAGACTCTAGTTAGGGAACTGTACAGAATCTTTGAGAAGGTATGGCAGACTGACAGTGTTCCACTACTCTGAAGTGAAGCGACCATTGTACCCATCTTTAAAAACGGTCTACGTAATGGACGTGACAATCATCGTGGTATTGGTCTGTTACCTGACACGTCGAAAACATTAGCTGCTATCAGACTTTGCAAAACGTATGAAAAATTGTTTCGCGAGGAGCAGGCGGGTTTCTTCCAGGTCGTGAATGAAATGATCATGTGTTTAACTTCCAGCAGATGCTTGAACATCGCCACACACATTGCAGGCCAACAATCGTTGTTTCTTGACACTAAGGTTGCCTTCAGTTCGTTGGACAGAGCTGTTCTCTGCAATTGTCTGTCAGAGAGAGAGAGAGAGAGGTATCTGAAAAGTTTACTAACATCTTGAAAGCCCTATATAAAAATACCTCAGGTAGAGTGAGGGCATACAACCACCTGTCTCCAGTGTTCCAAATCACCAGTGGGATTATGCAGGTTTGCCCGATTTCTCCATTCCTCGTTAACTCTGCCATTGATTACATTCTTGAGGCAGCTCTGAAGGCTTCCACACCGTTCATTGTTTGCTAGCCCTGAGACTGGATGAAAGAACCAGATGGGTGGACAGCGTATGGTGTAGCAATAAGTATAGTCGTATCGCGTTAGCATCTGTTGGTGTATCGTGGCTTTCTGCGTGGGGTCCGCGAGACAACGCAACTCAATGGCTTGAGACGTTATCAAATATGACTCAAAGTCAAAACCGGTGGCGGTCATGCTGTAGCTTCCTTGTATCTTCTGTTGCTGAAAAGTAATTAAGGTTTTGTTTTGAATGTATCTTACTGGACTGCCTTTCTAATCATTCTGTGCTTATTGTTTTTTTTTATCCACTTCCCTTCATTTACGTTTTCAGGTTGTTGTTAAACTATTCTGTGTGGCGCATTTCTTGGTGCGCTTGGTGTACCATGTTCGTTATCGAATAATAATAATGCTAAAACTTATGAGCACCATTATAAGTTGATACTATGCCACAAAAGAGCTAATTCAGTGCTTAACAACTCAACAGTCAGGAAAAAAAGATCATGTGTACAATCGTCGTACTCAACACTCAAACAGGTATAACTTAACATGATCATTATCTATAATATCAAATGACACTTCTTACCAAATGGGACCTGTATGAATCGATAAGTATTATTAGATCATATTATTTTACAGTCGACGGTATTTATCTTCCATAACAAATGCTAAGCAATACGATAGTTAATAGTCAGAAGCGATTTCGCTTCATCTGATGCCCGAAAGTCGTGTTTATCGTAAAGTGAATAAAAATACTATTTAGAATAACATCTACTAACCTACAATCGGTACATGACTAGGCTTATGTTCGAAGGTTTAGAATGGTAATGAGTGAAATTCTCAGAATGAAGTATGACATCCCTGTTAAACGAGTAGCTACTCAGTTCGGGAATTTTCAGATGGAAGATTTGCGAAATAAAATGATTAAGCGATAGATTTAACAATCAAGAAAAAAGCACAGGAGTACAGAGCATATTAGATACAAGAGCGATCTAGAAGACAAAAGTAGAATTGATTTTCTGTTGCATCGGATAAGCGAATGAAAAAATATGGTCAAGTAATATGCATACTTCGAGATCTACAAAATCGGGAGCTTACCGAGCAATTTTCACTACAGAATACGAATCTGACAAGTTTGAAACACAAAGCAAAACTAATATATTAGAGTAAGAAATATGTGACGTTTTATGATCAATCAATTTACACCATTTTGTTTTATTCAAAAGAATCCCTTTCGATCAAGGTTACTGATTCCGATCACTGCTTACTAATGGTGATGCATATTGAAATATAACCTTGATATAAAATAAAAATCAAGTTTTATAATTCCTGCTTCTAGTTTGAAATTTTGAGGTTGATCTATACTTCCCCCCAAAATGCTTCAATCGAATCTAATAAATATCTGCAGAGAAAAATCATGAATGACTTACCATGCATCTGTCGAGACGTAATTTCACTGGCTATAATTCTGGTTACAGGTTGAACAGATTGCGGTCGGATAATAGGTATATTTGTAGGACCAGAAGGTGCAACTGGACTATTGGCTACCTGATTCGAAGGATTTGTTACAAGACGAGAAGCCTGAAGACGAAAATTATCATCACCTGGAGATGAGGTGAGCTGCGACGATGAATGAACACCTGAATGATGAGGTTCAACGGCTACAGGATTCTCAGTACGTCTATTTAAATGGCGACAAATAAGAAAGAAGATTGAGGATTATGGTTAAAATGACGAATACGCAACACTGAGTGATAATCGGTAAACCGGACGTATTGACGTTGTTTACTCAATTGACAAAATAAGAGGAATCCAACTCTCCTTCATACAGTCAGCATTTCAAAATGATTCCATGAGCATGATTTCCATAAAAAACAGGAATATAAAAGTGAGGAATGATTTAAATCATATGCAGTAGTAATCATAAGCAAATGGTCATCAACACCAGAAAGTAGAGGTTAAGTGCAGATAGACAGCCCCTATTTCATCAGGTCTTTATTGCACTTATGAATGAAAATCTCCATGTTTCCATAATTAACATTATTAATGTAACTCAATCATCTACAGATGTTTATAGACTGAGTTACGAACTATACTTGTTGTTTAATGGCTTAGGGTACTACATGGTTGCCAATGTCAAAGTTGGATTTGAATCTTTAACTTATTGCTTGGAGGTTAAATGTATACGCTTCTAGGATATATCTCAACGGGCTTTGCGTGTAAACATGTGACCAATTCTTTATACCCCATAAAATTCCTGCTAGGTATTTACATCTTATGGTAGTTCGATGAGTTATTAGAATTCAGTACATCACCAGTCACTTTCAATGTCTGCACTCCGAACGCAAGACTAACTGTTCGATTTCACTGAGTTGTTTAGAGTTTCAAATGCCATTAGAATGCAAACACTATTACAATTCAGGTTCTTCTTGTGAAAGTGCCGGTTGGCATGACAACTAGGATACATATCAGCTTATATATAACGTTCAAAATGAAAGCAACTGATTTTAGTTTCATAACTGTATTATTGGTGACAAAAGTCTGTCGGTAAAGCAGAGAAAACATTGATAAGAATCATACCAAACAATTTAATCTCAAGCCAGTAAACGATATATAATGTGCTCAAAATTAGACCTTCAGTTCCTGGGTTCAACACTGAATCAGTGAAATGTAATAGTAAGTCTTGAAAAAAGTGATGGAGATTTATATTTTCAGTGGTTCTTCAGTTGATGTCTGCCCAGAACGAAAAGCATATTCGAAAACAGACTAGACAATTACGGATAAAAGAAATGACAGGTGTAAATAATAAAATGCGAATAAAGTATAAGAAGTGAGCGTGAAGGGAAAGAATGCAACAAATGTAGATGAGAGTGGAAATAACACCAGATTAAATGTCAGAAATCAAATAAATTAATCCCAATATAAACTCAAAATGACTGATGTTTACGTGTACCGTAAGCAAAATAATACACTTAACGATGATAGAATACATCTCATAAAATAACCTGAGGTATAATTAAACATGGAAGAATGATGATAACAATAAGGAGCTGTGATGAGAAAAAATAAACCAAAGCATTACTATTACCATTTCTTTTTAAAAAAAAATATCTTAGACACCCTAATTAGCTGTACAAGGAAACAAGGAACTAAAGCTAACAACGACTGTAACTTGAAATGAACTGAACAGGCGCTAATTATAAATTCATATATACGATAGAATGTGGCATACATATGAAAAATTTCGAGTACCGAAACACGTTGGTGGTAGAAGTTGTAAAGTTGTAGTTCATGGATCTGAGCCGTCGACTTTCAACCACTTTCAACACCACTTCACCTACCCTTGGCTACGGAAACCAGGTGATATCATCAACTATTTAACTTGGAGGATGCAGACAACATTGTACTGCTAGGTGAAGACACGGACAAAATTCAAGGTCTTCTCAACACACTGAGCAGAAATCTGAATGTGTTTGGCATGCGTTTCACACCTGCGAAATGTAAGATGATGCTCCAAGACTGGTCTGCTGCATGTACTCAGTTTAGTGATAAAGAGTGAAGTAGCGGAGTGTGTCGACCACTTCACTTACTTGGGAAGTGGCATCAGCCCGAACAGGTTGGTTGCTGACAAAATCCCAAGCTAGATACAGAAGGCTCACTTAGCATTTGTCAGCTCCCGTCAGCTCTGGCGCTGACTAAAGAAATATCCAACCACCTATCAAAGGACGAGTGTACTGAGCTACATTTCGTTCTGTCCTTTTGTATGCCTGTGAGATATGACGTGATTACAGGGTTTTGATCACAGATGCCTTTGTAGCACTGCTCGCATTTGGTGGAATCACCATGTGAGTAATCTTGAGGTCAGGTGAAGGGTACCAGGCAAGACGGGCAAGTCGATTGATGAGGCTGTGAACCCTAGTCGACTGAGATGGCTTGTACATGCGCAGTGCAAGCTGATCCACTGCCTACCTCGACGTCCTATGCCGGAAGAAATTGGACTAGGTTGGAAGACGGTTCAGGGTGGCCAGACTAAGATGTGGCGCCTGTCGATGAAGTCTCTGAATGCTGATCTGAGTCACGTTGAGTGGTGTAAACTCCTTAGCTCGGGTCACCAAGATGATATGAATCAGCGCTCGAGGACTCTTCATAATATGAGGGAAAATCAGCCACTCTTGGATGTCTTCTGAAGCTTGAATATTCGCACTGATCCATTATCTTCAGACTGTTTATTCTGTCACACTACTTCATCTTCTTGGATGTCACTCGTTTTCTGTATACCTGTTTTTTTGTACTACTGTGAAATGTGGCAACTTGAACCGATACATGTGTGAGATTCTACGTTGATTTTGACAGTCAGTCATAACCCCCACACAAGAGATGTGGGTCACTGCCTAGTGCATTTAACTATATATAGTTGCTGAATCTTATTATTATTATTATTATTGTTATTATTATTATTATCAACTACACAGAGACTATAATATAATCGTCTTCAATTACATGAAAACTATAAACTGCAATGTTAGCAACTAAACAACAATGGAAGGAATCGAAATATGAAAAACCCAGAAACCCATTCAGCAACCGCCTGTGCATTTCCACGTAGTAGGCAATGAGCCACACTTATTGTGCACGAGTTAATGATACTAACTGAGTGTTCAAACATCGGTAGATGAATCGGGTTCGAACCCGTGGCCCGTCAGTTGGAAATCAAGTGACCAGACCAGTCAGTAGGATAGTTGATCAATAAAGAAGTATGTAGCTGTGCACTGTTTAACAAACCGAATCACTTCATATTATTTAATGTCATTAATGATCCAAACAAAAATTGCTGAAAAGTATAGATTTCTCAATTATAAAATAACCCAGAAAGATCAAGATTTGGGCGTTTTACACAGGGAAAGTATTATTTACTGTATGATGTTTCTCACAGAAATTATTGTTCATACCTATACACCAACATAATGCTCTTACTCTTGTACAGTAGAGTTTTAAATCTGTACACGGCAAATTGACTTGCGCTAGGAAAAACTGCACAAGTTGAGTACTTACAAAAATCTGATTAATTTGCTATTCAAAAAAGAAACTTTTACTTTTGATAGATATTATTCATTATCAACTTAGGACCAGTAGCAATGCATAACAATTCACAATGTTACAACCTACGTTAGCACATGAAGATGAAAGACTAAGATCGGAAGCGGCATGACCAAAAGCCATGCTCAGTTATAAAACAAAAAGAAAAGGGGTTAACGCAAATATTAAAATGTGATATAACGGTTAGCCACTTCGATCGATTCTAAGCCTCAACACCTAGAGTAGTCAGTCAATCACCAGTTTCCATTGTTTTGTCGATCGCAACACGGACCAACTCATACCAAAGACATATGGATTATCAGCACACCTGTCGCATCACCCTTAAAATTCCTTTCAGTGGAACATGCTTTGATTGAAATAGTGAATCAGAATAGACGGTGGATCGACACGCTTAACACATGTCCCAGTCACCTCAGTCGACAAAGGTTCAAAGCCTTTTGAACTGAATTTCTTTTACCAACTATAACCATATGCCTAACCTCAGCGTTCGTTCCGCGCAGATTTAACAATGAGTGAGAAACACTACGAAGAGAAAGTCAAATACCTAAAACTGTCTCATGAACTATAACGTTAATGATCGTATTTTATAGTGAAAAATTAAAGCAGAAGGCACTGCTATGCAGTATACTCGACCCTTAATAAGCTTTTGAACACTTCGTTAGCAACATGAATTGTGTAAGTCAATGGAAACGAGTCAAGAATTATCGCATGAGTGCCGAGACTTTGTCGGTCAACAAAGCTGATCCGCCTTCACAAGCGAGTGATGATGAAAACGCGCCCAACCACTTCACGAGCTATCGTCAGACGAACCACTAACGCAGACCAGTCTTGAAGCGACAATTTGCGTTTAGGTGGTAAGATACACATCCCAAACGTTCTCAAGTTGCAACTCAATGGATCCGGAAGACTATGTATCTCAGCCACGTCCTCATCCAACACGAATATGTCGTCTGAGTATCCTAAGTCAAATAAATAATATTCCACGAGAACCTCCATCTTTGTTAAGTCAGAAGATAGCGTAGCTTCCATGAACTCAGTCAAAATGGAAAGAGGAAACACTTTTGATAGGCACAACTTGATGCATATATCTTATTGGACAGAACAACCATGGTGTTCAACTACAAGCCTTCTCAGGCACCTCATCTAAGTGAAACACTGTCAAAAAACATTTCGACCGACAAAGTTCTATGGCACCTTCACGTCAAGAAATATAGCTGGTGTAAGGCACCCGTAAATATTCCTGTGTTTCATTATCTACTAGGGTAAAGACCTGGTCGATATACAAAAATTGAAAGTGGAAACCTCACTGGTTTTCTGAAGGTTACTGAGTGCGAGAACTCTTGGAATTTCAGACACTAAGGTCAAGCTCATCTCTCAGCAATCGACAAAAAGCGATTTCTTTCTACTTCGGAAATTGGGACAATCAGAGCTATGCTTAAAATAAATGCAATCTTGGGAGACTCAAAGAGCTTAGTTCGTAGATTACAACATTGACCAGGAACGATTAAGTGACTAACCTAACATGCGTCCTGTATCCGTTGGTCAGAAACACAACACACATCCTCATAACATGAGATGTCAGACAGAAAAAATTAACGTAGAACCATACACAGAACTCCACAGATTCAAGTTTTTACACCTCACATCAGCATAAAAAGAATAATTGGGTGGAGAAAGACTGATACCCAAGTAGACAAAAGTGTATCGGAGGAGAAGGAGTATGAAGATAAATGTTAGGGAAAATACTCAAACTTCAGAAGACATCAGAGTGAATATATCTGAGCCACTGTGACCAGTTTTCAACCGCCTCACTATGAGGTCCCAACCATTTATTCCTATCATCCTGAGGACCCCAAACAGGTCATCTACACCTCCACGCAACTGACGCTGAAAGTCAAACACCTCAGGTACCATTGCCACTTGTTTGGTCACTTAGATCCTTCTTCCAAACTTGAGCACATTAGATTGCTTATTTGATATAGCACACAGTGACACAGTATAATTTACTGGTTGACATTTCGAGCAGAATTTATTGCTCATATTCAGATCGAAGTACTCATATGACTTTCGAACTTTCTTTATATAGTCCAACAGTTTATTCATTGATTCTAATGGTAGCAACATTTTCCATATATCTGGAATATGTGATGAGCCATTCCTGTTACATGTGTTAGTTATGGATTCAATGAACAAGGATTCTGTGATCAATCTCTCCCTCCACCTAGCTTTATTGGGTCTTAGAATTAATCGGGCTAGGATTCTGACTAGAAAGTTGGAAAGCCTAAATACGAAAATGAAATACACCACAGAGACACTAATTCTTAATCACTATCCTCTAGAATTTATTAAAAATTTAATAAGGACTAATAAGAGAAAGAGTGATAATGTTAAAAGGGAATAGAATATACCTAAAAGGGAATTCAAATCCTCTGTAGTGTTGCCGTATAAAGGTATATCGAAAATTTTACGTAGAATTCTTAACAATATTAGGATTAGGGTGGTATTTAAACCCACAAACTCGTACAGAGAGAAACTTTGTAGGCTAAAGATCGAATAGAGTCAATTAAGAAAAATAACCTATCTACCGTGTAATGATTGTGAGGTCAAGTATATAGGTCAAAACAGCCGATCTAGGGCAGTCATAATAGCAGAACACAAACTTTAGCGAACATACAATGGTAGACCTAATAAGACAATAAATTTAGAGGGAAACTCGGCTATCGCTTTGCATGCACTGACCCATAATCACACTATAGGGTGGGCATAGGGTAACAATTCTGAAATTCAATAAAGCTAGGTGGAGGGAGAGATTGATCACAGAATCCTTGTTCATTGAATCCATAACTAACACATGTAACAGGAATGACTCATCACATATTCCAGATATATTAAAATAAATGGAAGAACTGCTGGACTGTATAAAAGAAGTTCGAAAGTCATGATTACTTCGATATGAATATGAGCAATAAATTCTGCTCGAAACGTCAACCAGTAAATTATACCGTCACTGTGTGCTATACCAAATAAAAAATATAATACCTTAGAATATCTTGAATACCTGATTCCTGCGAATAAACGTGAACACATGTTCATATGGCTAAATATATACAGAATTGAATAGTAACCACTTACGGATCATGTCCATCAGAAAGACGCCTCTCCGCCATTTCAGGTGCAGAGCCACCAGGTGTCCGTTTAGCTCCAGCTTGAGCATCCAAATGGGGCTGTGACGATGATGTAGGAGGAAAGGAATGTGCATTAGGTTGTGCAGAAGATATATCGGGGGAAGAATAAGCTGAGGAAGAGTTAGGGAAACCCGAAGACTGCGAAGGCATAGCACGCACAGTTTCGAAATTCCACTTAATGTGTCGGATGCTTTGCCGGGTTTTGCCCCCCCTAAACTCTTCTTCTTCTGACCAGGTTTCTCGCCACCACCGTCCGGTGCGTTAAGTTGTGAATTGATAAGATCTTCTTCATCCGGAACACTGAAAATTAACATGACAAAGGATAAAAGTAATAAACAGAGAGAGTCATATGAATAGGTACAAGTAACAGTAATGTAACCTTCTGAGACCCAACTGTTTAATACTCCGATGACAGCACTTAAGTGGACTTCAAAACGAAATTTTCACAAAACTTACTGCTTCGTAAAGACAGAAAAATCAATGTAAAACGCAAACTATTCCAGAGATTTAAACCACCACGCTTCGCTGCAGCATGCAAAGAATAGTGGGATAGAATAGGACTGATACTCAGGTCGAGAAAACCTTATTGGAGGAGAGCGGATTTGAAAATGAAGGCTACTGAAAATATTCAAACTTCAGAAGACATAAAGAATCGAATTCATTCGAGCCACTGTGACTGATTTTTAGCCATGCCACCATGAGGTTCCAGCCATTGATTCGCATTATCTCGAGGATCCCAACCGGATAGTCTACACCTGTTACATGGTTTAAACCAACAGTCAAAGACTTCATGGACTGGTGACACATGTTGGTTAAGTCACCCTAAGCCTAATCAAAATCCTGTTAGCGTTAAGTGCCAGGATAAAGGATGGCTTGGGCATGTGCTACTCAGTTGGTTTACAATCTCATAGGAAAACATAGGAATGAGATGAGATCAAATAAATTTTTTTCGCGCTAAGCAATAGTAAAGATAACTATCACAGTGTACAGGTTGTATGGCTGGATTTTCTCAATTACCTCTAGGAATTATTCTTCTGAAAAGAACGACTCTGTATGCGATCCTCTTTGAGATCTAATCTGTTCAAAATTAAGATCTCAGAATTATTCTTGTATTACACCATTCGTATCTAAACGGGATGACTTCTGTTACCACTTTCGTATTCTTCACCGTATATTGTTAGAACGAATGTGCTAACTGAAAATATCTGGATGGTGAACACAGTTTCGTCTTTCACATTCTTCAAACAAGATATTTTCCTCAGACTCATTTACAAGATTTTATATGTCTTTCATTTTTCCCACATTACTTAGGCAGCTTACAGTAGTACGTTAGCAATATGTTTCTGAATCACTAAAGTCATTAATTACGAGTGATTAATCCGGTGTACATAGGGATTTTAAATGAAAGTTTCACTTTCAATGTTTTAATCTGGTTTGAAGTGTGCTTAATTTAACCAACAACCAACAAAACAAGAAAGATCGAACAGTTGAAGGGGGAATTTTTACCTAAACAAGTTTAGCATGATCTCTAGATATAAGGAAGTAAAATTAGTCCAAAAATATGCGCTTGTTGTGAACACGTAACTATGAATCTTTGCATTCACAAACGGTACACAATATCATGAACTGAACAGAATACATATTGTGACAACTGCGTGTGAATGCATTGCTATTCAAGAACTTAAAGTATGAATGAACATTTTTAGTGTCTCTGAAAAGTAGAGATGTCATCTAAGCATATGCATATTCCAATATTTTGAATCTTATAATTACACAGACTTTAGACAGAACAGGAACATATTAACAGTAAATCTATTTCGCATATAATGTTAGCTATCATCTTTCGAATTAAATGCTCTTTTAGAAAACACATAAGTGTATTCGTTTGATTATTTTCATCAAGGTGAAGACAATAAGATTTTCAGAATAAATAAAGCTCAATTTGAACCTAAAACCCATTGATTGAAAGCTGAGTGTTTAGGCTAATCCAGCTATAAGTAAAGAAGTATAACATCCGATTCGATAAATAACCGAGGTATAAAACGTGAGCTATGATATCTGATTGTGATGATTCCAATGAACTACAATTAAAACCCAAGATTAAGTTTACTACGCAAATGTGATAGTTCATAAACACTTCCTGAAGTCTATGGGTAAATTTAAAACGAAAAACACAATCGTCAGACTGAAATTATTGCAAAATACGTGTAATTATTCAGGCTTATTGAAAACTTTGAAAAAATATTTAAAAAATCTCACAATAACAAAACAAATTTGAACGAATAGATCAGACTTTTGACTTAAACATGCTCAATACACACACAGATTTGTGAACATATCTACTCCTTCGATAGGTTCATTTTCACAATAATTATAAAATTTTAGTTTTTTATTGTTGCTGCTGACGGAATTGAATGATCTGCATAGTTCAAGGAAACAGCAGTATCAGAAAAGAACTATGAATAATAAATAAATATCTTTATTCTCAAGTTATGAAGTTAACATCTCAGTTAATATGTCACTACATGCACAAAATAATGATTTCCGTTTGTTTTTTTTAGATGAAAACACTACTCTGTATTAGTGAAAGTGTTTGGGTGTGCTACTTACTAATATACTGGTGAAATGTAAAAAACCAAAAAAACAATGCAGTACTTATATAGTGGGCGTTGCTGGTAAGAATGGATATAAGTAGTATATTTTAAGAGGGTGGCAGAAATCATAGGTAATTACCAGCAATGAGTAAGGATTCCACAGAGAGAAATGCAAGAGACAAGGCAGGCGTGTGAAGAGCAAATCAAGAAAGAAGCAGAAGAGGAAATGAAGCCTATTTTGCAAATGACGGTTTTAGGGCAAGGTGTACCACATTTAACGTCTACTGCTCAACTTGCTGACAATAAACATTCCCTCCTGCATACCTGTAATTTGCTTCTTCCAATGGGTATCACTGCTTCTGGACGTAACGAAAATTCCGTGGCCTGCAGAATCCGAGGATGGAGCCACCAACATCTTCCTCAGGGACTTCGAGCCGGTCGGGGAGCTGGTGGGTGTACGGGATCCAGGAGCTAAGGTGGTGGTACTTGGCACGTTGCTTAGGGTAGAGCGAAAGTAGCGTATGATGATGTGGAATGTGGAGAGGGGAAGGAGACTTGACAGAGAATGATTGAACGACTGGGAGCGGAGTTAGACAGCCAAACAGACAGGGAGCTGGCGATACAGCAGTTCCGGAGCACGAAACTTCGAATAGACGAAGATCCGCTGGTATTGGCTGTGAAGTTAACTAAACTACTTCGACGAGCACTTCCCAAGTTGGATGAGCCACAAGAGCAGTTAACGGCTGCACAGTTCACTGAAAGTGTCCCGAATGCCAGCACCTAAGACTAGTCAACGTGACCCAACCCATGGATATTAGTGAGATGGCCAAGGTGACCAGATAGCTGATGGATACAGCAGTAGCTGAAGTGGAGTCACCAGAGGTGAATAACTGGAAAAAGCAAATCGAAAACCTTCAGGAAGAAGTGGCTGCACTTCGAATGAACATCAACAGGCAGGGTAAATGCTTTGGATGCAAAAAACCTGGACAATGGAGAAGAAATTGTCCGGAGAGGCGAAAAAGAAAACGTTTTGAACGATATAACAGTTCTTTTTTCCCAACTAGACTAGATATTGTAGGAGCCATAGATCGAGGTGATGTGTATGCTAGAATGCGAATAAATGATTGGGAGATCATGTGTCTAATAGATACGAGGGCAGCTAATAGATAAGAGTCAGTTTCAGAACATAAGACCATGTGCGCTAACGGTCCACACGGTTGGGGGACATGCATTAGAAATCGCAGGCTTATCAGATTGTCATCGAGATCGGAAGTCGGAAAATTAGATTTCCATTCCTTGTGACCACGCGTCTACAACAGTCAATTCTAGATGCTAATTTTCTGAGAGAAGTAGTCGCTAAATGTGGTACACCTTGCCCTAAAACCGTCATTTGCAAAATAGGCTTCATTTCCTCTTCTGCTTCTTTCTTGATTTGCTCTTCACACGCCTGCCTTGTCTCTTGCATTTCTCTCTGTGGAATCCTTACTCATTGCTGGTAATTACCTATGACTTCTTATCAGCAACGCTCACTACAATTACACCTAGCACAAAAATAAACAATTTTCTTAAGTAGGATACAAATTCGTCATAGTGTTATGCGTATTTATTAAATCATGATGAAAAAATATCATTTACTATTTTTAGTCATCAGATGAGAAGTAAGGAGAAATGCGTAACTACATTGTTTCCTTCAAGGGAGTTTGACACTACAAGTAAAATATATGACCACTGATATAGTAATTTTCCACCAATGTCAGTAAAGTCTTATTTGTGCTTCCATAGGCCATGAAGCGAGGAGGCGACAAGAAAATCATAAGGATATGACAAACGAAAAGTCACTCGTGTGTCAATTAGTTCATAAGGCCTACACACTATGCGATATCAGAAAGAAGTTCCCGGTTTTGATGACAACATAGCAATAATAGAAATCGATAGCTATTGAAATGAAGAACAGCGAAATGCTGACAATCAACAGAAAAGTGAGAGTGACTAACTATTAATTGTGCAGTATTTTCAAGTGTGTCAGATGTACATCTCTCGTGTAAACACTTAGGACTCAAATTCTGCGGAGATAGTGATAACAACTATATGCTAGATATTTATAACATTTACGAATGTTTGTCAAAAACAAAATCAAGTTCGTCATATATATATATATATATATATATATATATATATATATATATATATATATATATATATATATATGAATAACTTCCGAACTCAATTTGAACTCAATTTCATACAATAAAAACAAACGAAAAGGGGACAATAATATCACTGAGATGAAGATGAAATACGTATGAAGTTTGTGTACTAGGTTATGAATAACATCTGTTATCTGACAACTATTGATAACGCCTGTTTACACACACCTAGTATAGAATGCGAGATGGCAGTCAGTGAAACGATGGCTGAAAAACCTTGTCTCAATGAGTAAAGCCTTGACAAAAATATGTACAGTTTTTCAGACCCTATTCAAAGTAAAAATTGGTTCGTGAGCCAATGTCAGAAACTTATTGTCATGTTATCTAATTTCGTGAAACATGATTCCGA